ATTCTATGGATCTCCATCGAATGAAGCACACACAGCTCATAGAGATGCTTTCACATACTATATGGAGAAAGGTCCCTGTTCACATAAATGGAAGCAACTACATGTTGGTGATTATCAACATGACAATTTACTTTGGAATGCACAAGTTCATGATGAGCAAGTTTGTGATAGTTGTCAAATGCACATTTGTTCTAGTTGTGGTAATCCTTTTTCAGATGAGGAGTATTCCAGTTCTTCCGTACCCATCCCATATGATACCCATATATCATCAGACCATGAGTTGACAGAATGGAGAAGAAAATGGCCATTTCAGAATAAGCCTGATCAACAAATGAACCTATGTCGAGATCAAGTTTCTTCACTCGAAAACACAGGGTATATTATACAAAAGTCCAAAATGAAGATATCATTGAAAAGAAAAAGGTCAGACTCAAATCTTAGTATAGATCAGTTATCGAGATACTTTGATTTGCCACGGAAGGAAGCCGCTCAACAATTGGGAGTTTGTGTGACTCTATTAAAAAGGAGATGCCGAGAACTAGGAATCCATTGTTGGCCTTTTCGTAAGATGCGTTGTTTAGATGATCGAATAAGACATTTGCAAATAAGAAAAGAACAATCTATTTCGGATGTTTCTATCGATCAACAAATTAGGATACTTCAGCAAAGACGCCAGTCCTTGTTGAAGAACCCTAATATATCGTTGCAGCAGTTATTAGGTGACGAAGATGAAATATCTTGGTCTGGTCTCCCATAAGCCAATTCAGTTCATTTTATATAAAAGTTTGTGCCAAGTAGTTTGATATTCCAACGGGTTATAACGCTCTGATTGACAAAATATTCAAAACATCAAGTCCATGAGACCACAACAAGCCAAAGCTGCACAGAGACCTGCACAACAGGCCAGTGCTTCATCACCGCCACCTCCACCACTACCAGTATTTCCATAAGGACTATAATATTGATTTCTTCCATAATAATAAGGAGACGACCCTGGTGGACCCTTTACATAAACCGTTTGTTGTCCATAAGGCTTGATGAGAGTTGTCAAAGCACAATAAAAGAGAACAAGTTTACTTACAGAACCTATAGGGTTTCCATATTCATCCACAGGTACTTCGTACACTACAGTAGTTCTTCCTGGAGGAGCGCCATAAGGTTGAGCTACAGGAGGTGGTGGAGGAGGATAACCTGAAGGATATCCTCGATACTCAACGTTGTAAGGATAGCCATATTGTGCCATCGTCCAATGTCAAAATAATAAATCCACTTGTACACACAATATTCATACCTTCTTATATTCGATCATGAAACCAACCAAAATAAACAAAATGAGTTTCTTTAGATATACAACATATAGATTTTCATTGTGACTAGAATGACTTGGCATTTGGTTATGTGGATGGCTTTTTCATCTCCTTCTTCCCTCCTACTTTGTATACATAAACGACAAGAGCTTTATAGAAGCTCGTCCTTCTTGAGAAAGAAACGTCAAGGAATAAGGACAGTCACTCTTTCAAGTATTTCTAAAAAAGACAAAGGAAAGAATGACTGGGGTTTCCGACCACCCGATATCCCAACCTTAGAAGAAAGATATAGAGCAGAACTAGCTTATGTAGAAGAAAAGTTCGGTCCTAAGCGATATGAAACACCAGAGTTGCGAGATCCTTTAAAGACAAGGATACTTACAAACCAAGAAAAGGCAAAACAAGAAAGAAGTCGAGGAATCAAACAATATCAAGGTAAAGCTCAGTGGTTTTTGAGATTATCCTTTTCCAACCTTATCATAGATATAAAACGTATCTTATTTGGAGCAACTTTGGGAGTGGGTGCTTTTCTTATTCCGTTGCTGGGGTGGTTGGGTTCAGGCAAGATTGCTTGCAGTTATGCCTTTGGATTGGGAGGTAGTCTCATCTACGTTTGGTTGTTATCCCGAAGTGTGGAACGTTTAGCTAGTTCTTCTACACAATCTTTTCGTGACTGGTTGGGACCAGCAAGATTGGCTATTGTTGCCCTGTTGATATTAACCGTTTCCAAGCATCGAGAAGAGTTGGAGTTGTTACCCGTGTTTTTGGGTTTTCTTACTTACAAGGTAGCGACTTTCTTTCCTTTACTATTGGAAAACTGGAATCAAGACAACTCATCGGAAGTTGACAGTTCTAAAAACTCCGTCAAAAAACAAGCAACAGACTCTTCATCACTTGTTATATAAAAAATGTGCTTTACAACGTCTTTTTCATATTCTTAGTGTGCAAAGTGTCACATGAGTATATATCGCATGTTATGGTTTCTCAAGAAAAACTTAAAACACTCTCCAAAGCAATGTGAATAACATGAATAAAGCAACAACTGAACACAATACAATCAAATCTCTTCGTTTTCTTCTTCGAATTTGACCAATCAATCTATTTAGTCTCGGTAGCCTTTCACTCACGTGTTCCATTCTAGAAACCATACTTGCAAATATTTGCCGTTGTCTTGCTAAATCCTCTCTCACAGCCAAGCCTTGATTGATGGCCAAATCAGCACCACGTTCTGAGTTGGAAACAGAGTTTCGCTCTTTCAACAAAAACTCTTCCTGTGAAGACAAATGAGGACTTTGTGAAACACTATTCCGATGACTGTTTTCTAACAAATCCATCTTCTCCAACCAGTTTCTCACGGTAGCCTAATACCTGTTGAATAATGAAAGAATACAACAAAACTCATTGCTTACTTTACTTTTTCGGAATTCCTGTATGTAATCGGATAAAATTTCTTGATGTCTTTCCAGTGCGTGACTTTGACTCAAACTGGTGTTACTCGAAGAAGCTAAATATCGACCCATTGACTCATTCAATTGACCAAGTCTTCTTAACAATTGTTCTATTTCTGTTGAAAGTTTTTGTTCATCAGCGGCAACACTCTTATTTCCTTGGTTCAAAGTGAGAGCAAGATACAACACAACGGAGTGAGTGATTGCATACCACCGACTTTGTTTTTGAACCCAACTTCTGTTCGACTTGATAAACTTGCATAAGAAACAAGCTTCGAGTCTATTTCACTTTCTAAACGCCTGGCTTCTTTTCCAAGTGCTTCCCAACCATTTTCTAAGGTTGAAGACGACATTCAACAATCTTTGTTATAACACATTGTTGAATTGGCTGCTTTTGTGTGTGTGTGTGTGTGTTGAGATTGCGGACTCTTCCCATGGCTATGTTATTGAAAGTAAGTCCGTAAGATGTATTCAAAGAGTATGTATTCACCGTATATTGTAGAGTGCTACTCTAGTGAGTAGAGTAACCTCTCGTTCTTCGGCTCCCAAGGGGTTGGCACAACTTCATAGTGCAACTCCCACTTTGTTTAAAGTACAAGATGTAAGAACACAACTTGACATCCCACTATAATAAAAAAATAGAGAGAGAATAACGAATCTTGTCTAGGCCGATTTCATGCACTCAGATCGTTTGTACAAGTTTGCAGTGAAACCTCCTAAAAAGTGGAAGCTGCAACTCTTCTTATGTAAGAGAGATGTGGAATGGGCGTTGAACTTACTAACTATTTGTGTAGTTACTTTTGTCACAACAGCTCTAGGCACACCAGCTTTTGTAGTTTGGTTTAGTAACAAGAAGGCAGGAATTTGGTAGAAGAGTTGCTTGAAAAGTTTTTATAAAATATCCGATTGTGTCTATGGTGGCATCTTTTCCTCCTATCGCAAAAACTATTTTTCTTTCCATAGCCTTTCCAGTTGTCGTAGCTGGTCCAAAAGCAAACTCCACTTTCTTTCCCATTGCTCTTCTAAACCACTATTCAACTTGTAGAGCAAGTGTTCCACAAATTGTCTGTGTCTCGAGTCGACCTGAATATGATATTCGTTACTCAAACAACACAATACTCGAACACAAGCCAATAAAACTTTAGTACTTCCATTGTGAACATCTTCTTCTTCTAGTCGATGAAATGAATATCGAAAAATAGTCTCACTCCGTCGATGACATTCTTTCGTATCATGAGGACAATGCAATGCTATCCAAGATAACATATAACAGGCATTCCATAACAACTTGGTCTCATTGAGAGAACGAGAAATTGGTAGTGTTTGGCAATCAAGAATATGGCATAACAACTCAACAACTCTGTCTGTCATATCAGGATATTCCACTAAGAAGCAATGACCATTCCCATCATGAAAGGTTATCACACTTCCAAGTAACCGAACAATAGATATGCGGAACATCAATTTTGAATGGAACATCTCGAGAATGTGACAAACTAATTCTTCTCCACGTCGGAATAAATACGTTCGAACAGCTTCCAATAGATAACTATGCTGATCATTCTGCACCAATCTGAATAGTTCTACGAGTGCCTCTGTCGCCTTGGAAAAGAACGTACATTCTACATTTTGTTTGAATAGGGAGTCAATGACCATTTCCACCATATGCATTAATTCTGTAGGTATATAACTGTATTGCACAGCGACCTGCGTGGCGCGAATAAAAGCTAAAATAGCTGCACCAACAACAGTTGCATTGTTCACTTGTACTCGATATTTATCTATAAAACTGAACATTTGTTGTAGCAACGATAAACTGAAAGATGGCTGCTTTCCAATGTCTTGTGGTATCATTGCCAAAAACGAAAGAAGAAGACTAGTAGCATTCGGATTGAGATGAGACATATCTGTAATAAACAATTGTTTGGCAATGCAACACCAAAAGTCAGTCAGCTGCTCCCAACTAACTCCAGTATCATGCTTCAAAAAAGTCTCCTGATTATCATAATCTTGAAACAAGGCTTTCATAAGAGAATGAATAAATTTGATCATCAAAAATTGCAGTGCTTCATTTTTCAAAGGATATGACAAACATTCTATCATTTCTTGCTTCCACTCAGGTCGTTGTCTCAACAACTCAAAAATGGTTGAAAAGTAGCAACTAGATACTTGACAAAGAGCACTATAAGTATCTGCCAAAAGGCTTCCAGAAAAGCCATTTTTGTTTCTCATATCAACAAGAGTTGAGAGTACTCCGTCATCGCCCGTAATCAAAGTCAAAAGATTGCCAAGTTCCATTTCCATATTATTCTTCTTCTTATCGTACAAAGGATACGGAAATGGAATGGACAATATAAACCCTAAACAAGATACAATGGCAGAATAAGTAGTATCATCCGTCCTTTCTCTCTTTAGAATCTCCAAAAGAGTAGTAACGAGTCTATTCAAAAGAACAAATATCTCCTTGTGAATGTTTTGCAATTCTCGATGAGTAATAGTTCCCAATAAATGATATGGAAATACTTTAAACATAATGGATACACAACGAACAATGGCAGGTATTACAGATGAGTGTTGTTCCCTAGAAATAGCAAAATATAACATTCGATGAATATGTAGCAGAATGAATTGTATATCTCGAGGGCATGCCACTCGATCAGTTGGTTTCCATGGAGCAACTATCATTCTTGATAAAAAGTTCTTACGCATG